GGAACAAATGCCCGGCTGAACTCCTGCATTCATTCCTCTTTTTTTTTCCCCCCACTGATTTCAAGTGTTCCCCGATTCAGATAACTCCAAGTGAAGGACCGCCCCCCACTCCCCCCGCCCCCATATCACAGGCAAGGTAAAGAGTTTGTGTTCATAAAAATGTAAAAAAAGGAGGAAGATAGAGGGGGGAAAAATATCAAGGGAAGGAATAGAAATCTAAACTTGGATGCTGCTTCCCCCAGCACACACGTGAGCCGCAGACTCCCAAAAAGACTAGAGAAAGATTGCCATCTTGTGGGAGGATAAATATCTGACATTATTCAGAATACTAAATCTGCTACATGCATATTTTTGAAACCATAGCATATTTCTGTTAAATTTATTTTCCAACCTGTATTCTTATCCATATAAAACTAATTCAGTCTCATTTCATCAAAGTACATGCTGTGATCCCAGCTTTAGAAACCGACATAGAATCCTGTGTTTTAGTGATACTCTCAACAAATTTAAAATTAGGAAGGGGTTAACATTAAGGATTATCAGTAGAGTGGTGGATTTTATCTATTATTGAGCCCATAAACCAGGATGGTTTTTTGGTTTTTTTTATTGAGAATTTAGAAGTCAAACTTTAGGTGTCCAGATGTGCAGAGACTGAACAGTGAGAGAAAAAAAACACAAACCCACTCTCCTTTTAAACAACATCAGCTGTTATTCTAACCTACTTCAGTGAATTAAGTACATCTGTTTCAAACAGAACCTTTTTACTAATCAAAAACCTGCAAGCAATTCATGGAACATAGAGATATTTAGCATTGCTTTCAGTTAGTACATCTTAGAAATTATTATCTATATTATAGGAGTTTATGCAGTGACTGGGATTAAAATAACCACAGAGCTCCTGCCCATTCTGCTCAGGACAGGAAGGGTCAGGAGCCTGTGACAGCACAGCCCACGTACTGAACCATGAACTTGTTGGCTCTGTCTGCTGAGTGTTCTGTGCAGGACTGTCATAGGCTGTGCTGTCACCCACAGCTGTTCCTACACTTGCCTCCAGACTCTGGTCTTGGAAGTGGGGAATGAGAACAGATGGGCCACTGATTTCCTCTGTCCCTGCAGAGCAGCATGGCAGGCATGGAGGGAATATGCCTTGCTCCCTTCTGGTAGTGGTGGGAGCCTCACCTGCTTGGCACTGGGCAAAGTCTTCGTGGAGAAGATAGGATGGGCACCTTGGGATGCTTCTCTCT